TAGAGTACTATTCAGCTGTCTCGTGTCTATTTTCATTTTAGTATTTAGCAGTTTCTAGTGTTGAAGCATGATTTTGCTGAACCTGGCTGTTTTTCAGATAGTCTAACTTTGTAACTCTAACAAGACATGTGTCAACAATTTAGGTGCAGAACAGTTTTATGAGGGGTGTGCAGAGAAATCTTTAATACCTCGGTGAGGAGTAGCTAATCTTTGTGTCCCACCTAGTGAGGTATGTGTGAGTCCATGCTAACTGTATCCTGACTGATTCTAAGCTTTCTTTGTTGTTCTCTGTCTATCTATTCTAGATTGTTTGTTTGTTTGTTTTGAGGGGTTTCTGGAGTGATCCTGATGGTCATTGTGAGAGAGGGTGGAGACCCAAAATCAGAACCAGGCAAGGACCAGAGAAAGCTTCCCTCCTTAATCCCGAAGGAAGTTTATTGTTCTGTTTCTGTGGACCGCTCAGGGCTCCTAGTTGTCATTCTGATGACCTTGGATCCTGGGAAAAAGGATTTGGACTTCTTCCAGCTCATGTGTACTATATATCCCCTTAAATGAAAAGCCATGAAACAAAATCAGCAACAGGGAAAAAATAGAAAATTTATGACAACTTGAAGTTAAACAACATGCCTCTGAATGACCAGTGTGTCACCGAAGAAATGAAAAAGAAAAATCAAAGACCTTCATGAAGCAAATGATTCCAATGTATGACAATGGAATCTGTGAGGAGATTAACAAGAAAAACATTTTTTGAATGAATGAAAATAAAAACATAAATATCAAACACCCTGAGATGTAGTGAAAATTGTATTGAAAGGGCTGTTGATCTCATGGTTTGCCTGAAGGTTGCCAATAGATCAGAGAGAATGTTTGATATTTATCCTTTTGGAATTGGCTTATTTCACTGAGCATAATGGTCTCTAGTTGAGATCAGTTTGTTGCAAATGGTAGAATTTCATTCTTAATGCATTCCATGAAGTTGTGGTATCACGGAAATAGTATTCCATGGGATGGATGTACCACAGATTTCTTTTTCTACTCCTCTTTTGACAGGCATCAAGGTTGTATCCAGGTCTTTGGAATTGTAGATTGTGCTGCTATAAATATAGCATTACAGATCTCCTTCTCATATGCAAATTTCATTTCCTTTGGATATGTTCCCACTAATGGGATACCTGGGTCATAGGGCAGTTCAAATTTCAGTTCCCTTAGCACATTCTCCATACTGACTTTCATAGTGGTTGTACTAGCCCTGCACTCCCACCAACAGTGAAGATCGGTGCCTTTCTCCCCATATCCGCACCAGCAGGTATTAGTAGATTTCTGAATGAGGGTCAATCTTGGAGTTAGGTGGAACTTCAGTGTTGCTTTCATTTGTATCTCAATGACAGCTAGGGAGCCTGAGCTTTTTTTTCATGTCTATTAGCTGTTTGAATTTGTTCTTTTGAAAAATGTCTGTTCATTTCTTTTGCCCATTTCTTCACAGAAATGTTTGTTTTGCTGTCACTGAGTTTCTAAAGTGCTTTGTAAATCCTGGATTTTAGTCCGTTATTGGTTGTGTTAATGTGCAAAAATTTTCTCCCATTATGTTGGTTGATTCTTCACTTTATTGATTGTAGAGATTATCTTTTTTAAAGGTTTGCTTGTTGATAATAAGAGGGAAATCTGTCTTAGTTGTCTTAGCTTGAGGTAACTCAGAAGAAGAAATCCTGAACTAAAAATTTTTGTAATTTATTAATGATAATGTTTTCAGGAGAAACCAATAGGTATGTAAGTAATACCAGGTTTGAGTAGGGCATGAAGAAACTGATCAAAGGTGCATCCTGAGGTGAAGCGTTAGGTATACCCTGATCTCATTGGCAGTTCTGGAGCATATATTTTAAACCAGGGATGGACATTTGATTCAGTGATTGACATCCTGATTTAGATGCTCACATCCCTTACAAGAATGCGGGATGGTGTCACAGCTACAGAGAAATGCACAATCTGTGAGCTCAGCAGGTGATCCAGGGCATTACTTGTGCATCTTCCATCCATACGGGAGACGCAGATGTTGTTATGAGCTCTGGCTTCATCTGGGCCCTGCCCTGAATTTTATGGGCATGTGGGGATGAACCAGAAGATGGAAGATATATTTTTGTTTGTCTCTATCACTACATTTCATATAAAGTGAAAATGAATAGAAATTGAAAAAAAAAACCATTATAAATGGGATATTGTACTTCCTCAAGATAAAGAGCATCTACCACATACCAATCATTGGCCTTGATCTTTGGGTTGTTATAGATTGTTGAATTTATGGCTATGCATGAGCAAAATGGCTTTAGTGCCCAGGAGGAACCTGTAAATATGAGAGGCAAGCTGTTGGTAGCAGAACACTGGAAACTTGGTGACAGACATATAGAACTGATGAAAGGTGGTTGATAGTATCAACCATCCTTTTTTTTTTTTTGCGAGGAGGCAGTAGGTATAAATAAATTTCTTAAATTTGATAGACTTAGAGGCAATACTGGAAGGTAATTAGCATTGTGTTCTCTTTTAATTCATGCTGTCTATAGTAAGGTAACTGCATACTACAGATTTTCAAGCATTGATTTCATTGTTCTTTGTAGAAAATAAGGCACTTCATGTAGAAATAATAACATAAGTACTCACTTTTGAGGCTGGATGCTACTTTTGAGAACTATATGCACTGATTGATAATGAACCCTAAGGGAAAAAGGAATAAATTCTTGCATCCTAAGGTCAAAAGATAAGTGAAAGATACCTTAGAAAGACTGGTTCTGGTTCCCAGCTCCAGTCAAGTTCGGAGCTTAAGAAGGGTGTATGAAGTCAGCGAAAAGAAGAGACATGGACACTGTCACTTGGTGCCCTCAATTGACACCTCAAGAGGCTGTCTTTATTTATCCAGACACATCACAAGCTTTTGCACAATTGTTCTATTTTTATTTCATAACTAAGGGGGTATGCACAGGCACTTTCTTATACTGTTTGTTACTGCATGATTAAGCGGGTGCCCCTAAAGATAATTCTGCAAAATACTGTATTCATATTCTTCAAAGCCAGCCATTGTTCATTTTCCATTGTAGCTGTGGAGTGACAGCCAGGACTCCAAGGCCAAGGCACATGGGATTATCTGCTAATCAGTAATACATTCCTACCACATTTGTATTTCTACCATTTTCCCATCACTAAATGAGAAAAATATGTCAAAAGGAAAAAAATCATAAAGATCTAAAACAAAAATTTCAAGCATTAAATAACCTTACAACTACAGGCTCTACAACCTCATAAGCAATCAAACAATAATTAAAAGCATACCTCTATAACATTAATAGAAGCATGCTTTAATTTCTCTAACCAAAAATTATATAAGCAGCTAAAACAAATACATTGTCTATGCTCCAAAGAAATTGCAAACACAGGCTAGCCTTTAAGGTTACAGTAACTGTATTTATTGCCGTATAGTTTCAGTTCATTCTCCCATCACTTTCATTAATTTTTAGGTGCTTATCAAGCCATTTCCCAGAAGGTGTGCTACATATCTGAGCCAGATTCCAGGGCAATGTGTAGGCACGCAATCAGGCATCCAGATATGACAAGGCTTAATTGCACTCCTGTGTGCAAATTATTAAAGGACCACTCACCAAGACATGGTCAGCAACAATAACTCCCAAGCTCACATTGGTTGTAGAAGCCATCTCACAGGAGCAGACAACAATGCCTCAGTAGACTGCAGAATTCTTTAGCATAGTGGTGGAGTGTGAAAATAATCCAACATGAGTAGTTGGAAACTTGCATTTAACATTTGAGGTTATGTATCTATTCTTTGGTGGAATATCAGTGCTTGGTGTAATGGGAATTCTTTCCAACCGAGAGAACTGTGGTCCACTAAAGTGTTAGAGTCTCTTCACAAATTCAGAACCAGTCCTGGGTGTTCAGATCCATCCTATTCTCCCTCCTATGTTGGGAACTAATTGTTTTTAGTCTTAAATGATACTCCCTTTTCAAGTGTACTTCCTACTTAATATAAACCTTCCCTGAAGAATGAGAAGGAAATATCCAGTGTTTTAGAAACATTAAGAAAACTTTCAACTCTTTAAAAATAATGTATGGAGTTTTAAAATTCAGTGTAAAACTAAATACAGCTGCTAGTCATGTAGACAAAGCTGGCATTAGGTAAAGTGAGGTCATGAAAGTTCATCTGCTGAATATTTAACCTTTTATTTTAAATGATTTTATTTGTATCTGGAGAAAATCTGGTGCTCATCTAGCTGTCTTATTAATTTCTTATACTTTGGATCTGCTCTATTTCATTTCATAGGACAATCTCTTCCTTTATTCTGTTATTCAAGTTCCTCCAGTATAACATCTTCGTGATTTTCCCAACTGGACACATGAATTATTCTGCCATGATACATTATCATACATTTATCAGAGCATATTATTTAGGAGTTTATTCCCTCACTGGTTCTAGTTTAAGAAGTTCTTTTATCTTTCTGTCCAAAGAATGAGTTAATCCAGCTCAAGGAAGATGTCTTATTTATCTTTGGGTTTTCAATGCTTGTTATCCAGTGTTAGAACTGCATTATATCAGCTCACTGTGCACAACTTACCCATTTTTCTTTCAGTAGTATCTTGCTGTTAACCCCAAGTCAGCTATCACCAGCATATACAATAGAAGTTGACAGATATTACACATTAGGACTCCCTTACTAAAGAGTAAGTTGTAAGAATTTACCAGTAGTTTAATGTCAATGTGTTTTTGCTCCATGCAAAATACTCAAAGTATTAAAATTTGAGGTTTTCTTAAATAGAAGGGAAATTTCTAGGAAACTTGTCAATTCAATTTGTAATGTTATCTGTTATTAGTTGAATTTCTGTAAATATTGTTAATTGTAATTCGTTATCATTACACAGAGTTAACAGTGAGTATTGTAAGTTTGTGTCATTGACTAAAATTTCAAATATATTTTTTTGTTTCTCTAATGTTTGGTTTCCAGGATGGAGTTTTAGTTAAAATTACAGAAACGTGCCCTCCATTGAACTGCTCAGAAAAGGATCACATTCTCCCGGAGAATCAATGCTGCAGTGTTTGCAGGGGTAAGCAAGCCTGACGAGGGGCTGTGTGTGGGGTGAGCTTGGGTGGCCTTTGTGGCTGTGATGGTAATAGCATGGGTCTAGAACTATGCTCTGCTCTTACAAAGTTGTATAGTCTTACCTTTCTCAGTCATAGTCTCCATGATTGTAAAATGAGGATAATAACAGTATCTACTTCTTAAGACTGCTGTGAAGATTAAATGGAAAGATGCCTAAATGCCTGCCATCATACCAACATATAATAAACAGTCAGTTAACAGTGGCTCCTGTAATGCTAATGGCTGTTCCTATAATAATACCATTATCATGCTTATTGCATTTTTTTCCCAAGTGGGGTCAAGAAGTCTTCTTTTTGGTCTGGTCTGCAAAACAATTCGCATATCTGGCAAAGGATGAGTCTTACTCATGGATTGGTTTTATATATATATTTTTTACTTCCCAAAGGGAAAATAGATTCAAATGGATGACTCATGATCGCTAATTAACTCTTTTACGGAAAATGTTTTTCATCTTTTTGGATATTTCTTCATGTTTTTGGTGTTTCTTTCACTCCTGTTGCAGTATCACTTTTTCTCTGAAATATCTCTTAGACTTAAAAGAACCTAAAATTTGTTGAAAATCTTAAAAGGAAAAACTAAACAGTTACATTCAAAGCTGTTACTTTGAAACTATTACTATTACAAATACTTCACATTTTTATATAGTTAAGTTGGTTCCATTTTGACTTGCTTTGGATGCTTCCAGAATTAAGCAAGGCTCAGAACCAAGTAATTTAGTTCATTTCATGTGAAATTATTTCCAAAAGTTCATGGAAAAAGGAGTTATTTTTGAGTCAAAACTATTTTGAAGTCCATGCTTAGTTTGCTATATTATGCATTTTTTTGTGAACATTTGAAGAACCTTTATACTTTATTTTGTATTTTTGTATTTTTTGTATTTATTTTGTATTTTGTATTTTTTTTTTTTCTGAAATGTTCTCCTGTAAGGGGCTACAGAGCATATATTTCAGGTTTGGTAGAAAAGAAGTTTTCTGTTAAAAATGACTCAAATTTGCTCAAGTAGTGGGGAAGCTGAATACATTAAAAGTGTGGCTGTATTCCAATGCAAGTTTATGAAATCAGATGGAGTACCTAACTTTCTGACTCATCTTCTAATTTCTTTTGATATATGCAGATGGATATTTTATCATGACAGGCTTTCAGCTCAGGCTGAGTTTTCTTTGTATGGTTGATCATGAGGAGTGCTTTAATATAATTCTTAGGAGAATCTTGTACTTTGATAGCCCAGAGTGTCTCTTAGAATCAGTGAAATGCTAACCATGCTTAGATTACCTGTTTTCATCACTATAAGAATATTTGTGGTTGGGATGTTTTAAAAAATACCTAGATATTTAACAGTTTTTACAGGGATGCATTTATTGTTAACAAATAAGGTGTTAGGTTGGTCTTATAATTTAATGCAAAATCCACCATTTGCTCCTTGTTGAGGTGCCAAGTGGAACTGAGTTTATGCAAGTTCTTTCTGATTTATGGTTTCATTAGAGTTGAATAATTGATTATGTCATAGAAGTTCAAGAGGAATTTCATTGCTCTGACAATTTACAATAGAGCAAATGTCACAGCTTTTTCTAACTTTCAGCTACTGTGCATGCTATTCTTCGTCATTGGCAATATTGACAGATGTGAATCTCATTGAGGAGCAGAACTCAGGGCCCCCCATGTTGGGAATCTGCCAACTTTTACCAGCCCTGACTCAGCTTTGAGGAAAGAGTGAGGGTGGGGCAGGAATTAGGGTTCAAAGATTCAATCTTAGGGTCATTGTATGAAATTGTGAAAGCTTTTTATCCTTCTTATTCATAACCATTTCTTCCTGTTAGTCTGAAACTCATCAGTTCTTCCATCTGCTAACTGAATTCCCATTGGCCAGGGCAGATCTAAGCCAGAGTCTGGAGCGTTACACTCTATCCTGATCATCTGTGTGGATGGCAGAAGCTCAAGCTCATGGGACATTTTTGCTGCCTTCTCAGGCACATTAGCATGGAACTAGATCTTGAGTGGAGCAGTCAGAACATAAACTGCTGCTCCAGTACGGGATGCCAGCAGTGAGGTGGTGGCTTAGCACTGCACCACCATACCAGTCCCCTGCATAATCTTACTCCATAGCTCTTAATTCCAATTTATCTCTCAAAGACATCTTTAGAAGTAATCTAAGAGTTGGATGGGAGGAATAACTCTATGGCATTATGGAGGTAAGTGTTCCAAATAGCTATTAGGATTTTGAATGTTCCCAATGCCAAAAAGAAAGAAAAATAAGTGTGCAAGGCAAGGATTATCTTGTATGCATGTATTAAAATATCATATTGTGTCCCATGAATTTGTATAACTATGTGTAAATTTAAAAATTGGGTGCCCGCTCATGGTCTGGCAAGCCTAGTCTCTGTGTGCAGTGCTAACAACCCACATGAACCAGTTCAAGTCCCAGTTGCTCCAGCTTCCTGCTAATGGCATGTGAAATCTATAGATTATAGCCCAATTTCTTTGACTCCTTCAACCACATGGGAAACTCCTGAGTCCTGGCTTCTGAGTTTTGTGGCCGTTTAGATAGTGAACCTGAACATGGAATCTCTTTGTCTCTTTCTCTGATCCTGCCTTTCAAATAAAAATAAATAAAGAAAATTTTTCATTAAAATTATAACCATAAAAATTGCAAATAAAAGGAACCAACCTCTTAAAAATTGGGGAGGAGAAAGGAATATGTAATTAGCTTTGCAAACAACAGCCAAGGCCAGGATCCTGGTGCCTCCATATGGATGTTTCACGTTGATGAAGGGATTGAAGCAATAGGGATATGTTCTACTATTTTTATAGGCACATTAACAAGAACATGGATTGAAAGTGGAGCAGCCAGGACTTGCACTGGTACCCATGTGTGATGCTGACTTCATTGATTGTAACAACCCCAGCATCACAATACAATACCAGCACTGAGATTTTTTTTTTTTTTTGTGAACACTATTGGTGTTTTAGCTGAATTTTTCTCTGCTTTCATTTTTTTCTAAGTCTTGCAAAATGAGGTGTTTGGATTGTTACTATTTGGACAAGTCTTGGAAAGCCCAGTGGGCCTCCTGTGTGACAAATTATTCATAGTTCTTCTTGCCCTCCTCTAACAGAAAGTGATGAAAATGTGAGAAGCACTCAATTTCTATGTAAAGTAATTTTGATTCTCTGTATGGAAAAGCTGAATCGCTTGCTTGGTGGATTGAGGTTGTCCACAGACTGGCAGGCAACAAGTAAATGGAGGGAGGTGGGATTCAGATGAACTGTTATGTTTGTATCAGGGGTGTGCACCAAGCTGTGATAACAGCTGATTGATGTCTGCACCCTCATGTCATTGGTTAAGGAATTAAAATGGCTGTGACCTCTCAATACTCACATTTTGCAAAGGCCCTTCAGTTAACACATTTAGCATCTCTGTCTTCCTGTGAGCAGTGGGTCATTAATCTGAGGGAGATTTATCCAGGAAAGCATTGTTCTTCAGGCATCAAAGTTGAAGTCTCTCTGATGTCTTCCTGAGTAATATAAAAAAGTTCCAAATTTTATTTTCATATTCTGTTCAGTTATTTTATTTTGGGAGGCTTAGAGTAGGTATTTAGGAAAATCTTCAGAGATCATTTTGTGTTGTCTAACCCTAATTGGCTCCTTATACAAAGGGACTTCAGAAAGCTCCTGGAGAATAGAATTGAAAGATATGTTTCTTTGGACATATCATATATATATATATATATATATATATTTGAAATAACCAGATTCTTATTGGAAAGTAAAAACTTTAAGTCTATTCAGCTAATCAACTTGGGATGTAAATCCATCAGTCAGTTAGCTGAGCTGGCTGTTGGTCTGAGTTTAACTACAGCTTTTGGACTTTTCTTACAGGGTGTGTACATTTATTGAGCCAAGTTTAAATGAGACAGATTTATGTGTGGTTATCAGCTACATTGAAGATAGAATAATACCTCATTGAAAATTGAATTACACTTGGTAATAGCTAACACACTTGATTATTGATTAAGGAGGTGAATTATCTTCCCACTCATTCGCATACGCTGTGTTATCTATATGCAGGTAGAGGCAGCCACAGGATCGTTAATCACGCTTTCCATAATGGCCTTCAGATGTAAACTTTACTCCTTAAAGTACCAGTAGGCATTTCTGTGGTCACGCTAGATCTGCTAGAAGGTTCAGTTACCTGGCTACCTGCTGTAGGGTGTTGGTAGAGCACAGTGTCCCACGTGACTCTGGCCTCTCCAGGCATTATTCTGTGCCTAAGTCTACATTTTTTTTATTGCATATATTGTCAGTGAATATTTTGAAAATATTCTCATATAATATTTGTAAGGATCACTGATATTTAAAATAAATAACATTTGTTTTAGAGATCTCATTTTATGAAATGACCGTTTCAACATAGGAGACAAATTAGTTATAAGAATGTACTGCTACTCACAGTATGCTTCTGTCATTTTCATGTCAATGAATATTTTTAAGTGGTATTTGTTTAGTATCAGTTGATGCATATGTATTTTTTAAAATGATTTATTTATTTTTATTGGAAAGTCACACGGAGAGAAGGAGAGAGAGAAATATCTTCCATCTGCTGATTCACTCCAGCTGGAGCTGAACTGATCTGAAGCCTAGAGTCAGGAGCTTCTTTCAATCTCCTTGTGGGAACAGGATTCCAAGACATTGGGCCATCTTCAGCTGCTTTATCAATCCACAAGCAGGGTGCTGAATAGGAAGGGAGCAGCCAGGATATGAATCACATGCAAGAGAGGACTTAAGCCACTAGGCTACTGCACCGGGCCCGACTGCATACATTTTATGTGTGAAATAATGTTGAAACTCATACTGATGACTTGTAAGTTGTTTTCTCCTAATAACTTGCTAAATTAGTTATGAAGCTAATTGTTCTTAATGAGTCCATCTCAGTAAGAACTTCTTCAAGAA